ACATAGCAGACCTACCTAACACACAAAGACAAAGCAGGGAGACAAGAAAAATGCCCCAAACAAAAGAGCAAGAGAAATTCCCAGAAAAGGAATTAAAGGAAATGGATGAAATGGAAGCAGCCAAAATACCAGATGCAGAGTTTAAAATAATGATTACAAGGAAGCTGAAGGATCTTAGATGAAGAATGGATGATCTCAGTGAAACTTAAAAAAAGAGATAGTAAGCATTAAAAAGGACATACAAACCATAAAAAAGGAACAGTCAGAAATGAAGAATATCTGAAATTAAGAATTCACTAGAAGGACTCAACAGCAGATCAGATGAAGCAGAAGATCAAATCAGCAGATTAGAGGACAAGATAACTGTATCCACCCAAGGAGAACACGAGAAAGAAAACAGAAACCACAAAGTCTAAAGGACCTCTGGAGCAGTATCAAGCATAACAACATCTGCATCATAAGGGTACCAGAAGGAGAAGAGAGTAGGCAAGGGATAGAGTATCTGCTTGAAGAAATAATGACAGAAAAAACTGGTGAAGGAAAAAGTCACACAAGTTCAGGAAGCACAGCAAGTTCCAAGCAAGAGGAACTCAAAGAGACTCACATCAAGACACACAATGATTAAAATGACAAAGGTTATGCCTTGGCTCAGTGGATTGAGCACTGACCTGCGAACCAAAGGATCGCAGGTTCGATTCCCAGTCAGGGCACATGCCTGGGTTTCGAGCCAAGTTGGGCCCTTAGTAGTGAGCACATGAGAGGCAACCACACATTGATGTTTCTCTCCCTCTTTCTCCTCCCCTTCTCCTCTCCCTAAAAATAAATAAATAAAATATTTTAAAAAATAAAATAGCAAAGGTTAAAGAAAAAGAAAGAATCTTAAAGGAAGCAAGAAAGAGACAGTTACTTACCTACAAAGAAGTTCCCATACGGTTATCAACTAATTTCTCAACAGAAACACTTCAGGCGAGAAGGGGCTGACACAAAGTACTCAAAGTCATGAAAGACAAGGACATGCAACCAAGACTATTCTGCCCAGTAAGACGATCATTAAAAATTGAAGGTGAAATAAAGAGCTACCCAAACAAACAAAAAAAAAGACTAAAGGAATTAACTGCCACCAAAGTAGCACTACAAGAAATGTTAAAGGGACTGCTTTAAGAGAAGAAATACAAAGAGGAATATAGGTATAAAAAATGGCAATAAAAAGTACCTATCAATAATAACCTTAAAAGTAAATGGATGAAAAGCTCCAATCAAAAGACATAGGGAAGCTGAATGGATAAGAAAACATGACCCATGTATATATGCTATCTACAAGAGACGCACCTCAGAACAAAAGATTCACACAGGCTAAAAGTAAAAGGATAGAAGAAAATATTCTACGCAAATGAAAAAGAAAAAAACGCTGGGGTAGCAGTATCTTATATCTGACAAAACAGACTTCCCAAAAGGTCATAAGAGATAAATAAAGTCACTATATAATCCTGAAGAGGATATAATCCTTGTAAACCTATATGCACCCAATACAAGAGCACCTATATATAAAGAAAAATCTTGGTGGACTTTAAGGAAGGAACTGACAGCAATACAATCACAGTAGGGGAGTTGAACACATCACTGCCACCAATGGACAGATCTTGCAGACAAAAAACCAACAAAGACAAACACAAACCTTAAATGACACACTAGATCAAATGGATTTAACTGGTATTTTACAGAACATTTCATCCCAAAGTAACAAAGTATATATTCTTCTCAACTGCATACGGAACATTCTAAAAGACAAACCAGATGTTATGACACAAATTAAGTCTTAACAAATTCAAGAAGACTGAAATCATATTAAGCATGTTCTCAAATCACAATGGCATTGAAACTAGAAATGAACTACAGTAAAAAAACTCAAAAACATTCAAACACATGGAGGCTAATTAGCATGTTTTTAAGCAATAAATGGGTTATCAATGAGATCAAGGAAGAAATAAAAAAAGCTACCTGGAAACAAATGGCATATGAACAACTATATGCCAACAAACTGGACAACCTGGGCAAAATGAATAAATTCCTAGAAATATACAATCATCCAAAATTGAATTAGAAAGAAGCAGAAAACCTGAATAGACCAATCACAGCTAATAAAATTTAAGCAGTAATTAAAAAAACTCCCAATAAACAAAAGTCCTGGATCAGACGGCTTCACAGGCAAATTTTACCATTCATTGAAGAACTAACACCTATCATTTTCAAACTATTCCAAAAAATTCAAGAGGAGGGAAGACTTCTAAGCTCTTTTTACAAAGCCAACATTATCCTAATTTCAAAATTATATGAAGATACTACAAAGAAAGAAACTTACAGGCCAATATCCCTGATGAACATAGATGCTAAAATCCTCAAAAAAATATTACCAAAACAAATCCAGCAATACATTAAAAGGGTCATACATCATGATCAAGTAGGATTTATCCCAGAGATGTAAAGTTGGTACAATATTCACAAACGAATACTTATAATACATCACATAAACAAAATAAAAGATAAAAATAACATGATCATGTCAACAGATGCAAAAAAAGCATTCAATAAATACAGCATCCATTTATGACAAAAACTCTCAGCAAAGTGGGAATAGAGAGATCATACCTTAACATAATAAAGACCATATATGAAAACCTACAGCCAAAGGGCAAAAACAAAGTGTTTCCCTTAAGATCAGGAACAAGACAGGGATGTCCACTTTCACCACTCTTATTCAACATAGTACTGAAGTAGTAGCCACTGTGATCAGACAAGAAGAAATAAAAAGTATCTAAATTGGAAAGAAGGAAGTAAAATTGTCATTATTCACAGATTACATCGCATCATACATAGAAAACTCTAAAGATTCCACCAAAAAATTACTAGCTCTAATAAAAGAATGTGGCAAAGTATCAAGACACAAAATTAATATTTAAAAATTGATGGCATTTTTATACACCAATAATGAACCATCATAAAGAAAAACTAAGAAAACAATCCCATTTACTATTGCAACAATGACAGAAAAACAAGGTGCCTAGAATAAATTTAACCAAGGTAAAAGGCCTCTCCTCAGAAAACTATAGGACACTGAAGAAAGAAACGAGGAATATGCAAATAAGTGGAAGCATATACCATGTTCATGGATTGAAAGAATGAACATCATTAAAATGTCCATGCTACCCAAAGCAATCTATAGATTTAATGCAATTTCTATTAAAATACCAATAGCATATTTCACAGACCTAGAACAAATATTTCAAAAATTTATGTGGAACCAAAAAAAGATCACAAATAGCCTTAGCAATCTTGAGAAAGAACCAAGTTGGGAGTATCACAATATCTAATATCACACTATACTACGAGGCCGCTGTAATTAAAACAGACTGGTACTGGTGTAAGAACAGGCATATAGATCAGTGGAACCAAACAGAGAACCTAGAAATAAATCCATACCTTCATGGTCAATTAATATTTGACAAAAGAGACAACAGCATACAATGGAATGAAGATAGTCTCTTCAACAGTAAGTGGTGTTAGGAAAACTGCTCAGGTACATGCAAAAAACTGAAACTAGTCCACCAACTTACACCATACACAAGAACAAACTCAAAATGAATAAAAGACTTAAATGTAAGCTGCAAAATCATAAAAATTTCAGAAGAAAACATAGGCATTAAAACTTCAGACACCTTACAAAGCAATATCTTTGCAGATATATCTCCTAGGTCAAAGGAAACAAGGAAAAAATAAACAATGGGACAACATCAAATTAAAAAGGTTTTGTACAGCTAAAGAAACCATCAATAAAAAAAAAAAGGGAATCCACTGCATGGGAGAACATATTTGCCAATGATACATCTGATACAGGGTTAATTTCCAAAATACATAGAATATATACAACTCAACACCAGGAAGAGAAAAAAATCCAATTTAAAAATGGGCAAAAGACCTGAATAAACACTTCTGCAAAGAGGACACATAGACGGCTGACAGACATATGAAAAAATGCTCAACATCACTAATTATCAGAGAAATACAAATTAAAACCACAACGAAGTATCACCTCACACATCAGAGTGGCTAGCAGAAATAAATGTTGGCAAGGATATGGAGGAAAGGGAATCCTCAAAAACTGTTGGTGGGAATGCAGGCCATTGCAGCCGCTGTGAAAAACAACATGGAGTTTCCTCAAAAAATTAAAAATGAAACTGTTTTTTTGACCCAGGGATTCCACTTCTGGGAATATATTCTAAAAATCCCAAAACACCAATTTAAAAGAATATATGCACCCCTATGTTCATAGTAGTGTTATTCTCAACAGTGAAGATCTGGAAACAGCCCAAGTGCCCATCAATAGATGAGTGGATAAAAAAGCTGTGGTACATTTACACAATGGAATACTACATAGCAGTAAAAAAGGAGGAACTCTTATCTGTTGCTATGGCATAAATGGATCTGGAGATTATTATGCTAAGGGGAATAAGGGAGTCAGTGAAAGATAAGTACCATAAAATCTTGCTTATATGTGGAATCTGATGAACAAAATAGAAACAGAGGGAGGGATATATGGAACAGACTGACAGCTGTCAGAGGGGAAAGGGAAGGGGGAACAAGATAAAAGATGAAGGGATTAGCCAAAGTATGTGTGTATATAACTCATAGATACAGACAAACAGTGTGGTGATGGCTGGATGGAGGTGGGTAAAGTGGGGGAAATGGGGACATCTGCAATAGTATAAACAATAAAGTTTAAAAAATAAAATGTAAATAAACTCTCCAGAAGGAGAATCATGCATATTTCTATTAACCATATTTACACTACTAACAATATTTGCCTGATAATGTAAGATACTTAATCATACTAGTCACATGAAAATAAATGGTAGACTAATATCTCAAAGGGAAAATAAAGTAGGTGTCTTTAAGAATGTCAAATGCAGAACTACTTAATATACATAAAGAAATACACATTATAATAAATGACAAGACATTTTATTATTATTTTACTACGTAGCATAGTAGTGAATATACTTGATTGCATTTCCTCAAATGGCAAATGAGACACAGGAAAACATTGTTCTTTGATTACTGAAAACCTCAATATCATCTGTCTTTTGGAGGATTCAATTTCTTACGACGTCTATGATACCTTGAAAAGAAGAAAATATTTAAGATTACTTATTTTAATAAAAGTTAACTGTTTCAGATATATGTACCAAATTTCTATGTTTATTTTGCCATTTATTAATATTCAATAAAATCAAGCAAACTATATACATAAGCTGTTAAACATCTTTTATTACTTAAAAAGCCAAATTTGCCCAGAGTGAAAATTCTGGTACTTAGACATTTTGGAAAATCTTCATTGAGATCTTAAGGATAATTTCAATAAGGTAACCTGGACGACTGTTAAAAAGTAATAATTGTCTTTATAATAAAGAAATAGCACATTGTGAATATGTTCTAGTAAAGCTTTATTTCAACAATCTTTCAGATTTTGAGGAAAATTTCAATTGGTAACATGGATGATTGATCTTTAATTAAAAACCAGTAACTGTGTTTACAATAAAGAAGTAGCACATTGTGAACATGTTCTATTAAAGTTTTATTTAAAAGGGGATGTTTTCCTCTCAATGGAGGACTCAGCTGCAAAATCATGTTTTAATATATACTAGGATGAGGTTAATAATAGGTTTATGGAAAAATGTACAATGTCACCAAAAAATGGAAGAAATGAAAATTAAAACAGTAATGAAACTTACATGTTTTTGCAATTAGAAATGTTTATAAAGTCATAATGCCCAATCTAAGCACAGGTGTGGTGAAATAAGCAACATCAGACCTGACTGATTATAGCATTAATTGGCACAATACTTTTGATAAGCAGTACAGCAAGATATATCAAAAATATTTTTAAATAGTTGTAACTTTTGATTTAGTAATTCCTCTTATGGAAATCTATCCTAAAGCAATATAAAAAATGGTTAAAATTTTAATTGGGGGAAGAGAAGATACAGTATGCAAATTTAAATATACAGCATAATTAAAACCATATAAAAATAAGCAAATTAACACAACTTATGTATATATACTAAGAAAAAAAACAAATGAACTACTAACAGTATTCATTTTTTAGTAATTTCACCAAGAAGAATTCTTCTTGCCCTGGCCAGGTGGCTCAGTTGGTTGGAGCATCCCATACACCAAAAGGTTGAGTGTTCGATTCCCAGTCAGAGCACGGATCTAGCTTGCAAGTTCGAACCCCGTTGGGGCACATACAGAAGGCAACCAATCAATGTTTCTCTCTCTGTCTCTCTTCCTTCCTCTCTCTCTGTAATCAATAAGCATATCCTTGGGTGAAGATTTTTTTTTTAAAATTGTTTTTTTTTTTTTTTTGCTTCTCTGCATCACCTTCTTTTCTTTATTGATGCAAGAAAATTTCTGCAAAGTACATGTGGTTTTTGTTGATGGGTTGTCTTCAAACAATTGCTCTAAGGTCAGATTTTGGCAAGTTGATCTGAGTTAGATTCTTTTTTTAACTTTTTTGCTAATGTGGAAATACAATGTAAAGATTTCTATACCACAAATGATAAAAATACTTGTATCATATGCTCTTTAGTTGTTATGATTCAGATATCAAAAGCATTTTTCACTTATCTTAAGACTTCATACAGGCAACTTTCCTAGACATTATTTTTTCTGATGCTGATTTTCTAAAATTTTCCAAAATATAAAAATAAGTTGAAAAAGAAGTGAGTACATCTATATATACTAACATGGAACACTAAATTATAGAATAATACATAGAGTGTATCTGTGACAACACTGATGGACATAGAGGGTATTATGCTAGGTAAAATAAGTCAGACAGAGAAAGACAAATACCATATGATTTCACTTACATGTGGAATCTAGAAAACAAACAAACAAACAAGTAACAGAAACACACTCATAGACACAGAGCAAACTGATGAACGTAGGGGTGGAGGATTGGAAGCCTGGATGAAAAAGGTGAAGGGAATTAAGTACAAATTGGCAGTTACAAAATAGTCACAGGGATGTAAAGTATAACACAGGGAGTATAGTCAATGACACTGTAATAATTATGTGTAATGCCAGGTGGGTACTAGACTTATCAGGGGGAACCACTTCATAAGTAATATAAATGCTAACCACTATGTTGTACACCAGAAACTAGTATAATATTGAATGTCAACTGTAATGAAAAAGTGAAAATTAAAAAAATACATATGGAAAATCACTTATATAAACATTTCTACATGTACTTATAGTGGCATAGAGAAAATTACAGTTTTCTTATGGGTTCCAATTACATGTCAGATAATCAAGGTTTTACTAGTGCATACTATTGCACCCTGGAAGGTATACTCTCAAATGCAGCAGGGTTTTGGGAAGTCATGAACTTTCTGAAATTTATAAAATTTTGAATATGTGTTTTTTTATGGTAAATGAATTCACATATTTTATCAATTTCTTAATAAGTCTGTGGCCCTAAAAGTGCTAAGAGCTATCCTATAAAAATGTGAATCAGTTTTTACATTGCTCAACCATTTTCACTATTCAAGAATGCCTTCAAAATGCTTGAGACCCTGACAGCCCAAAGCCTGACAAAGTCAAGTTCTAAAATACCCTCAATAAATGTTAAATAGCACTTATAGATGTCTTATCATGCATGGATTTTGTTGGGAAAACTGGACAGACACATTAAAAAAATTAAATCTAGACCACCTTCTTAAACCATATACAAGAATAAACTCAAAGTGGATTAAAGACTTAAATATAAGACCTGAAACCATAAAATTCCTACAACAAAACATAGGTAATAAACTCTCTGAAATTGCCCTTAGTAATATTTTTTTCTAATGTAGCTCCTTGGATAATAAAGACAAAAGAAAAAACAAACAAAGGGGACTACATCAAACTAAAAAAAAATGTACAGCAAAGACCATCAACAAAACAAAAAGACAACCTACTGAATGGGAGAAGATATTCACCAATGTTACATCTATTAAAAGGTTAATATTCAAAACCTATAAAGAACTCACACATCTTAACACCAAAAAAACAAACAATCAAATTAAAAAATGTGCAGAGAACCAGGATAGACATTTCACCAAAGAGGACATGCAGATGGCCAATAGACATATAAAAAGATGCTCAACATCACTAATCATCAGAGAGATGTAAGTCAAAACCACAATGAGATATCACTTCACACTGTTGGAATGGCTATCATCAATAAATCAACAAACAAGTGATAGCAAGAAGGTGGAGAAAACAAAACCCCCATGTACTGTTGGATTGCAAACTGGTGCAGCCACTATGAAAAACAGTACGGAGAATCATCAAATAATTAAAAATAGAACTACCAATGGAATTGACCCAGCAATTCCATTTCTAGGCATACCTGAAGAAATTTGAAACACTAATTCAAAAATATATATGCACCTATATGTTCAATGAAATAGATATGCACCTATATGTTATTTACAAGAGCCAAGATACGAAAGCAACCCAAGTTCTCATCAATAGATGACCGATAAAAACGTAATACTTATACAGTGCAGTATTACTTGGCCATAAAAAAGAATGAAATGTTACAATTTGTGACAACATTGGATAGACCTAGAGGGTATTATGCTAAGTGAAATAAGTCAGAGAGAGGCAACTACCATATGATTTCACTTATATGTGGAATCTAAAGAAAAAAAATAAACAAATTAAAAAAACAAAAACAGATTCAGTCCCTGGCCAGGTAGCTCATTTGACTAGAGCATCATCCTAATAGGCCAAATTTGTGGATTCAATCCCCAGTCAGGGCACATACAAGAATCAACCAATGAATGCATAAGTAGAACAATGAATTGATGTTTTCCTCTCTCTCCCCACCTCCCTTCCTCCTCCTCTCTTTCTCTCTAAAAATTAGTTTAAAAATTGTTTTAAAAAGAAAAACAGAAATGGAGTTGGATACAGAGAACAAACTGATGGTTGTCAGATGGAAGAGAGGTTGGGAAACTGGGTGAAAAAGGTGAAGGGACTAAGAAGTACAAATTGGTAGTTACAAAGTAGTCACAGGGATGTAAAGTACAGCATAGGGAATATAGTCAATAACATTGTGATAACTATGTATGGTGCCAGGTGAGTACTAGACTTAGTGGGGGGATCACTTCATACATTATATACATGTCTAGCCACTGCTGTACACCTAAAACTAATATACACTATTGGGTTGGCCAAAAAGTTCATTTATTTTTTTCTATATAATGGCTCTAGTAGCACTTAGCGGTCTTTAACTTCCTTTGAAACAATTTTGTTAGATTGTACTATGACAGCTGTCACATTAGTGTGCATTTAAAAAAAAAAACCTTACTAAAACTGGAGAATTCTTTTTTAAATTTTAATTGTTATTGCAGTACAATTTTCTATCTTTTACTCCCATCCTAACCCACCCACCTATCCCTCCCCTCCTCCTTCCCATTTCCACCTGCCCCTAGTTTTTATCCATGTATCCTTTATACTTGTTCCTGTAAATCCTTCCCTTTTTCCCCTGAAATTCCCCTGAAATTCCCTCTCCTCTCCCCTCTGAGCTCTGTCAGTCTGTTCTTTATTTCAGTGTCTTTGGTTCTATTTTGCTTGTTTGTTTGTTTTGTTGTTTAGGTTCCTGTTAAAGGTGAGATCATATGGTATTTGTCTTTCACTGCCTGGCTTATTTCGCTTAGCATAATACTTTCCAGTTGCATGCATGCTGTTGCAAAGGGTAGGAGCTCCTTATTTCTTTCTGCTGCATAGAATTCCATTGTGTAAATGTACCATAGTTTTTTGATCCATTCATTTATCGATGGGCATCTAAGTTGCTTCCAGCACTTGGCTATTGTAAATTGTGCTGCTATGAACATTGGGGTGCATAGGTTCTTTTGGATTGGTGTTTTAGGGTTCTTAGGATTTAATCCTAGCAGTGGAATTGTTGGGTCAAAAGGCATATCCATTTTTAGTTTTCTGAGAAAATTCCATACTGTTTTCCATAGTGGTTGTACCAGTCTGCAGTCCCACCAACAGTGTACTAGGGTCTCCTCTTCACCACAACCTCTCCAACACTTGTTGTTTGTTGCTTTGTTTATGATGGTCATTCTGACTGTTGTAAAGTGGTATCTCATTGTGGTTTTAATTTGCATCTCTCCAATAGCTAGCGATATTGAGCATCTTTTCATGTGTTTCTGGATCCTTTGTATGTCCTCCTTGGAGAAGTGTTTGTTCAAGTCCTTTGCCCATTTTTTAATTGGGTTGCTTGTCTTCTTAGAGTGGAGTCATGTAAGTTCTTTATATATTTTGGAAATTAAACCCTTGTCTGAGGTGTCATTGGCAAATATGTTTTCCCATACAGTTGGTTCTCTTTTTATTTTAATACTGTAAAACTGGGGAATTGACTCCAACCTTTCCATATGTCACCTTATCCCAAATACAGAGCCTACTTAATCATTTTCTAATGTATAAAAGCTGGGCATGTCAGTTTGCTTCTTAAAATCTGGCAATGAAAATAAGATATAAAGTCCTCAGCACAACATAAAATCCTTCATAAGACACTTCCTAAATTCCCTCCTCGTATTTTGGGTCCTATCCAAGCTGAACTACTTGCAGATTTCTTGGTACATTCTAACACATGCTGTTCTCACTGCCTGTGGAGCCTCTTCCCCATACCCCATTAGTTACTACTAACCATCCTTCAAGGCTTAATCATTTGGCTTTTACCCTGTTTCCTCCTTGCCTATAAACAACTTCAAAATAAGGATCGTGATTCTGATTATCCAGTACTTAGTAAAGCAGCTCAATGAATGTACCCGTATTTTGCTGTGTATAATGAGCACGTTTTTGCTTAAATTTTTGAGGGAAAATAAAGATGTGCACTACACGTGGGTATAATGATTACACACCATGGCCCCATGTATAATGTGCACAAAAACATGGGTGTGCATTATACACCAGAGTGCATTATGCACAGCAAACTATGGTATATTCATTAGTCCCACAGCATGCCTACTGGTAAATGTGCCAGGCCAGGGCTTTTACCTGGGACACAGTGAATAAGAACAAAAGGTGCTCAAACAAACATAAACAATGAAAAAAAGCCACCTCACAGTTTTGATAGATGAGAGAGAGAGAAAGAGAAAGAGAAGAAAACATTAAAGCCAGAGTCAGACAGGAGTTAGAATCAATGTCATAAAATGTGAATATTTACAGAGGGGTAACTCTAAACTACTAAAGGGACTGAGAACAATATACCCTGCCCAATTACTTGCTGCATACCCTACCTTTTTTTCCTTTTGCAGTAACTTAAAATCTCTTAAAGAAATAAAGGAATGAAATCAAATTTATCAGAAAGATAAAAAACAGTATGTTAAATGACTGTATCACAGAAAGGAAATTTTTTTTAAGAATTCCTATAAAATTCACTGAAAGTTTTGTTTAAATTCCCCCATTAAAATACAGGAAAAGTACTATTTCATTTCAGGTACAGTGTATGTAGATTTAAATATACACTGTACTATATTAAGTGATCTGGTGAGAATGTAAATTGGTGTAACCACTATAGAAATCAGTATGGCAGTCCTCCAAAAAATAAAACTAGAACTACCAAATGATTGAGCAATTCTAATCCTAGGTATTTAGCCAAAGAAAACAAAAATGTTAATTCAAAAAGATATGTGCACCCCATTATTCACGGTAGCATCTGTAGCATTATCTTTATTTATAATAGCCAAAAATATGGAAATAGCCTAAGTGTCCACTGATGGATGAATGGATAAAGAAAATGTGATATGTATATATGTCAAATCATGATGTTGTATGCCTGAAACTAATATAATGTTATATGTCAATGATACTGCAATAAAATATATATATTTGGAGTAGGTGATCATATTAGGTATTAATTTCTCCATGCAGAAGTTCATTAATGCAAGATACGTTACATTTTCCTTCAGTGTATCTAGTGGAAGTTGAAGAAAAGAAAACAAAACTTACTGTCCACGAGGATACCAACGGTGCTTAGTAGTAAAGAACATTTTGCTAAGTTGTTCTATCATAGGTCCTTGCTCCAAGTGTTCTTCTTTTTCTTCTAATCTGGTTTTCAGTACTTGATCTAGTGTTTCTTCATAATTATGCACAGGATCTGGCCGAGGGATAGGCTGCAAAATAATCAGTAATGAACATCATTGAAATGTACAAATGTTAGCTAGCATTTGACTGAATTTATGATGAAACAATTACCATTCTCAAGAATTCATTACAGTACCTCAAAGTGGGTAGGTAAGTTATCTGAACAGAGTTTGAATTAGTTACATTATTCATTAAAGAATAAGAAATGCTCCTGGCTGGTGTGGCTCAGTGGACTGAGTGCCAGCCTGCAAACCAAGGGGTCACTGGTTCAATTCCCAATCAGGGCACATGCCTGGGTTGCAGGCCAGGTCCCCAATAGGGGCGTGTAGGAGGCAACCACACATTCTAGGTTCACGTCCTCGCTTTCTCCCTCCCTTCCCCTCTCTCTAAAAATAAATAAATAATATCTTTACAAAGAAAAGAGTAAGAAATATTTTTCTACTCACATCAAGTTTTGGGTTTGTTTTCTAATAATAAATGTCTTATTTAAAGTTCTGCTTCCCCCTCAATAATCAAGACATTACTTTAGTTCCTATTTCTCAAAACTATAAATTGTGCTCATTATTATTTTTTAAATTAAAAGTCTAATCTCTACTTTGAATAAAATTAAAGTGAGATACAATGATAAATCTTTCACTGACAAGGATATTTCTGGAGATATGTCTTGGGGTGGTGGCAAACACACAATATAATACAGATGATGTACAATATTTCAGAATTGTGTACCTGAAATCTATATAATTTTATTAACCAATGTCACCCATATAAATTCAATGAAAAACACAAAAGAAATGTCAGTAAAAAGAATGGGAACGGTGTGCTAAAGATTGATTTAGTAAAGATTAAAGTTTTTAGCTGGGGATAGGCAGTCTGGATAAGGTAAGTATATAATTGATTACCTTATATTGAATAAAAAGAAAATTGTGTAATAAAAAAAGAAAAGGATATTTCTCATATACAATGGAAGCAGGAAAAATTTCAGTGTGTTTATTTTAAATGACTGAAATGGCAAAAATGATGCTTTTGGTAATTTTTAGTGCATACTTATATTTAATGAGCTTATGTAAATGAAACAATAAGACCTCTTTAAAATGTAATATATAAGTACATGAAAGTGGCACAAGTATATCAGAAATGCAAAGTAACAAAAATATCAGTGAGAAGTAGAATGGGAGTCAAGTCAGACACTTGTCAGAGGGCAGAATATATTTTACAAGGGATAACAAATCCTCTGAGTAAAGGAGTGTAGTAAGAACACACAACAAACAAGTAATTTTAAGAAATGGGACTTCCAGCCAAGATAGAGACGTAGGTAAATACACTTTGTCTCCTCCCATAACCAAAAGAAGGACAACAACAAATTTAAAAAGAAAAAATAACCAGACCCACCAGAAAACTGAGCTATAGTGAAGTCCAACAACCAAGGAATTAAAGACGAAACATTCATCCAGACTGGTAGGAGGGGAGGAGAGGATGTGTGGCAAGGCAGCGGCTAGAAGACTGGGCAGGGAGGCTGCAGCAGGTGGTTCCACATTTGTGTGCAGATAAATGGGAAGGAACAACTGGAGACAGAGAGAAACCATGCAACCCAGGGTTCCAGCATGGAGAAATAAAGCCTCAAAACCTCTGGCTGTAAAAATCTGTGGGGGTTATGGCGGTGGGAGAAACTCCCAGCTTCACAGGAGAGGTTGTTGGAAAGACCCACAGGGTCCTAGAATGTACATAAACCCACCCACCCAGGAAGCAGTATCAGAAGGGACCAATTTCATTGTAGGTAGCATGGGAAGTGACTGAAAGCTGGCCCAGAGCCGAGCAAGTGGCACTGTTTACCTCTCTGACCCCTGCCCCATATACAGCACTTCATCAAAGCCAAATGGGTTGCCCTACACTGGCCAATACCTAGGGCTCCACCCCCTTACAACCTAAGGGGCACTGAGAAAAAGAAATAAAGCCCAAATGAAAGAATGGATCAAAGCTCCAAAAATAACAACTAAGCAATGAAGAGGTAGCTAATCTATCAGATGCAGAGTTCAAAACACTGGTAATCAAGATGCTCACAGAAATGGTTGAGTATGGTTATAAAATGGAGGAAAAGCAAAGGCTATGCAAAGTGAAATAAAGAAAAATATATAGGGAACCAACAGTGAAGGGGAGGAAACTGGGACTCAAATCAATGATTTGGACCAGAAGGAAGAAAGAAACATTCAACCAGAACAGAATGAAGAAACAAGAATTCAAAAAAATGAGAAGAGGCTTAGGAACCTCTGGGACAACTTTAAACATCCCAACATCCAAATCATAGGGGTGCCAGAAGGAGAATAGGAAGAGCAAGAAAGTGAAAACTTATTTCAACATATAATGAAGGAGAACTTCCCCAATCTGGCAAAGGAAATAGACTTCCAGGAAGTCCAGGAAGCTCAGAGATTCCCAAAGAGGTTGGACCCAAGAAAGCACACACTAAGACACATCAGAATTACATTATCAAAGATTAAAGATAAGGACAGAATCTTAAAAGCACCAAGAGTAAAGGAGACTTACCTACAAAGGAGTTCCCATAAGGCTATCAGTTGATTTCCCAAAAAAAAAAAAAAACCCCAAAAACCTTGCAGGCAAGAAGGGGCTGGAAAGTATTCCAGGTCATAAAAGGCAAGGACCTATATCCAAGATGACTCTATCCAGCAAAGCTATCATTTAGAATTGAAGGGCAAATAAAGTGTTTCCCAGATAAGGTCAAGTGAAAGGAGTTCATCATCACCAAGCCCTTATTATATGAAATGTTAAAGGGACTTATCTATGAAAAAGAAGATGATCAAAACTACAAACAGTAAAATGACAACAAACTGATAACTATCAACAACTGAACTTAACAAAAACAAAACCCAAAACAACTAGCACAGGAACAGATTCACAAAAATGGAGATTACATGCATGGTTATCAGTAGGCAGGGGAGAGGAGAGAATGGAAGGAAAAAGTATAGGGAATAAGAAGCATACATGGTAGGTACAAAATAGACAGGGGGAGGTTAAGAATAGTATAGAAAATGGGGAAGTCAAGGAACTTATATGTACAACCCATGGGCATGAACTAAGGGGTGGTGGGCAATGCTGGTGCAGGAGATGCAGGGTGGAGGGGAATGAAGGGGAGAAAAAAAATGGGACAACTGTAATAGAATGAATAAAATATACTAAAAAAAAAAAAAGAAAGAACTGGATCTCAAGAAACCAGATTATGAAAGCCCTTCAAAGGTAGATTTAGAAGCAACAATTTGACATAAATAGAAATAAGTAACCGCTTATGCAGTATGGGAGGGGTAAGGAGGAAGTATAATGAAGAAGAACTTGAGCTTTGGCCTCTGGGTCTATCACTTACTAGCTCTGTGACCTTGGGCAAGTTATGTAAGCTCTTCATTTCCTTTTCTATAAAATCAGAGGAGTAATATCTATCTAATAAAGGTTTGATGAGACTCAAGTGAAATAATAATATATAGTATGCTTAGCTGTCTCTTATTCTGTCAGAGTTCAATAATGGTAGGTAGCTATTAATATTTCTTTTATGTCCTCAAACAGAAAAAAAGAGATAAAATTAAAGAAAAATTGTTCCATAGACACTTAAAATTATATTAAAATATTATCTCTTATTTGCATCATACTCTTTGGGGTGCTAAGAAATATGGAATTGGAACCTATATTTTCTATTTTGGGTCACTAAATTTGTTGCTTAAGATCAAATGTTTTAAATATTATCAAAAAGTTAAGTTATTTTTGAGTGTCAATGAATATTCATGGTCTAGGGTTCTATTCCCAAGTAGGCTCAGTTCTAATACGTTACAAATTCTCTCTGCTTTGTGTGATCAAAAATAGGTTCCTTCCCCACCCTCCCCAGGCATACATATAAAAGATATTAGAATTCTAGATTCTCTGAAGTCTATACCAGGAGCCACCGGAAGACTCAGAACTGATTATTAGGTACTACTTGATCTCCTTGATCAACTTCAAAGAAAGAACACATGAATGTTTCATTTAAAAGGAAAAACTAAAATAAAACTGAATCTCAACTTCATAGAACATTCATAACTATCATTCTGAATTTCTAGGTTTTCTTGAGTTCAAAAAACTTGACACTCAAAATTTTTCACTAAATAAACCACCAAAAAGAACTGCCTAGCACTTTATAATTTTACTTTATTTTTCCAATCATTTTAATTATTACTTTTTGCCTCTGGTAGAATACCTTTATTTTCCTAAACTAGAAATCCTAAATTTGGAAAACATTTTGAGAATATTAGTGCTTTTAATAAAACATACACCAGCCAGAAGCAGAAAAGAGGCTCTTTTTACCTGGATCTATAGAAGATAATCAACATGCTTTAGATTCAAATATAAATGACTAGAAAACCAAAGATGCAAATCATCTTAACTTTATTAAAGCCAGCCTTAGTTAGTACTTCTACATATGGCCAGATTATTTGTACACTCTATGCTTTCCAGGCCCTAGAGAGTCAAAGGGTCCACTAGAGCTGTAGCCCTGCTTCCTAGAGAAAGGAGGAAAATCAAGTCTAAATTTCAAGTCAGGTTTGAGGATATTTGTTTGATGTTATATACTATCATCATGGGATTTGTAAATCTGGATTCAGAAAGAACATGCTGTATTCTAATAATAACATGTTTTCACAAATGGTTCTTATTGGCAGCCCAATCTACAATTTATTAGTTGAGAAACAAACAAAAAAAAGCCATGCCTACCAATGTGAATGTTTCCTACCGCTAAAACAGAAAACAGTAGACAGTATAGTTTAATGATGTGCTTATCCTCACCTAAGCATGGTGAGAGAGAAATAAACTTATTCATTTAAACAACAAATATTCATTGTGAGCCTACTGTGATTCCAGGTGCTGACCATATAGCAGGGAACAAAACAGATAAGGCCCTGTCCTCATGGAGCTTAGGTTTCAGTGGTGGGAGATAGACAAAAAAATAAGAAAATATCCAGTGTGTCAGCAATGATAAATGCTATCGAAAAAAGTAGAACAAAGGACAATAGAGAGCCCACAGGTAAGGGTACTACTACTTTAAATGCAGTAGTCAATGAAGGCCTCACTAGGTAAGGAATAAGAAGATCTAAAGGAAAGGAAATATGAGGATTTCTGCGGTAAAAGCATTACAGGCAGTGGAAGCAGAAAATACAAAGGCCCTGAGGCAGGAACTTGCCTAAATGTACTTGTAGAACAGTAGGGATGCCAGAGTACCAGCAAAGGAGTGATGACATGTAAACTGATTAAGAGGGATCTTCCAGACTAGAGAGAAGAATACTTATCGATGTGGGAGAGCAGACAACTGTTACAACAAAGGGAGTACAACAAAAAAAAGAGAAAGCAGAGAGTTAGGCATATATGCAAGAGATTATAATGATGGATCACGGAATCTATGCTGGGTAAGGAGAGAAGTCAGAATGTGTGAGATACATGAGGAACTGTAAGAAGGTGGTTCAATCCACTGATAATGGTCTCAGTGAAGGATAAATAATTTTTGGAGCTGAAACACTAGGGGCAGTTGGTAGTAAGCTAGTAGAAATCTTAAAAGCAAGATCAGGAGACTGGTGAACCAGTTATTTGTGATTAGACTATCTCTAGGGTACAACCATGGGAGTAGAGGCTGAGGTAGGGAGAAAAGAGCAAGTGAGAGGCCAGGGTATTTAGACAGCTTATCTACCTGGATACTGAAATAACAAAGAATTAGGACAGAAACAGTGTTGGAAAGTGTGAAAGTACATCTAAAATCTTCAAGGAAGGATGGAGGGAGAGGAAAAGAAAACTGCAGGTTAGTAGATAACAGCCACACCAAAAGGTAATAGATGGTATAGTTTGATGACATAAATGACAAAGCTAGAAATTGTTAGGTAGAAGGAAAAATAGTCTGGATATGACAATGAGGAGCTACAGAGACACTTACCTCACCTCTTGGCCCAGTAAAAAAAAAAAAGATATAGGAAAGAAAACGGCAACTACTTAAGAACGCTGGGGAAGCACTGGCCCTAGGGTACAGCCAGGTTTCTGTTAAGTCAGAAGATGAAGGCAACATTCTGGAAAAAGTTAAGTTTATGAGGGATTTTGTTGATGACAGTAAGTTCTAAAAGTACTGTGGAAAAGTTTTGAGAGTTGGGAGGGATAGGAGAAGGGTCAGATTCAGGGATGTAAAGAGCCATATATTAATGAGAATCTGGATGCTGAGAAATAACGTCATAGTCTTGGGCTTCTTAGCATTACTACTAAAATAGGGAAAAGCACTTAACCAGAAATATACCACAAAATAAAAAGGGAAGAAGCCACAAAATAGTATGAGTTGGAAGGTTTACAGGCCAAAAGTCACTGACTTAGGCCTGTTTTCTGCACATTGCCCAAAGAAATGAAACGAAAGAGGTACTGAATTATTACTAGGATATGTGGCTAGAATACAAAGCAGGCAGACAAAATGGTGAGGTTAAAAAATGAATAAAAACTAGCAAAATAATCAATTCTGTCAAATCAACCAGTATTCTGGCCCTAATGGTAATCTTTAAAAATAGGTACTACTAGATGCATCATGTGATGATTTGAATTATTTAATTATTTTCTCCTCAAAAAGCAAATCAAACATTACCAAATATAGTAGAAGAAGGCTTAGAGAAAGAGAAGAAACTCTTTCAAATATAAAATAATAAAGACTTGGGCCAAGGACAAATTGTATTAAAAATAAAGCAAAACCTCTTCTATCTAGTACTTTGCTTTTAAAGAAATATGAAAACAATTAAACTAAGCCACTTAAAACATATGCCCATGTTGGCCAATTAGAAAAAACTAACAAATAAAAATTTAGCAAACAGTAAAAGAATTATTATACCCAATACAATATAGAAGTTAGGAAAGAGCACTCTAAAATACAAGTTTTTCATAATTTACTAGATTATAATATAGAGTAGCATGGGACAGTGTATTTATATTAAATGTATTTGATCACTTCAAAAATCCACCAAATTTTAGATCAGAAAACTGATGCCATAATTATGTTTTAATAATTCAGTTTTTGTGCTGAAAAAAACCTTTAAAGACAAAAGATGAAACAGAAGTGAGAAAAATCAAAACAGTACAATAAAAAAGCCAAAAGGTTTAAACCAAATTTTTAAAAAATCAAATAAAAGGAAATCTGTCTTTTTAGATACAATAAGGAAGTGTGACTATTTCTAATAGCAACTTAAGAATTATAAGAGATTTCCTCATACATACTTTTGTGTGTTCATATGGAATGTCCACAGAAGGATGGTAGCAAACTATTGTCCTGCCATCAGATGTCAAAGCAAGCTCTACTTTGCTAAAAAAAAAAAAAAAAAGTTTCAGAAATAGAGTTATCCTGTATTCAAGGCAGAATAATTATTCTTAGAGCTAAAATTAATTAATCATGAATCCCTGAAGAATAGGTGCCATGTCAGTGGACTGGCAAACCTGATACCCATACCATACAGAACTCAGGCCATCCCACAAAATATGTCAGCTTAACAACCATGACAAACCCTTAATGCATTACCCACTATCATACGTAAATTATTCTTGAAATGATTGGTTTTTAGACTACCCAGATCTTTGGAAGAGACTTTCATATTTATTTGTCACTATTATTAGAACTTCTTTTTCTTATTTTCTTATCTAAAAACTGCCTTCAAAAATTGTAAGAAGGACATTACTTGGCTGAATTATTAAAGTTGAAAATCAACAAAGTATTAGTCTTCCAGGTAAAGGATCACCTGACTTTCTAATCATAAAGGCTGTAGCTAAACACTTTGTCTAGATCAGGATTTTTCAAAGTGCCTTTGGCAAAAGAGTACAACAGTAAAAGGTTCCCATAAAAAGGGTTCCATGGTCATATAAATTTGGAAACTACTGAATATTATCTCTTCCTTCCATTAATAGCCCTCAAAAGAACACATTTTGAGCAATATTCCTCTAAACACTTCCAGGAATGCTCTGAACTGGATCTCATTCTTTCAAGTATCAACTAACCAAGCCTCTTTTTTTTTTTTAAAGACTCTAGCAATTAATATTGTACTTAGATCCATATACAATCTAAGGAGCACAACTTTCAGCTTTTATTAAACATCTGTGTTCTCTACATGTCTATAAATTTGAGTTCCTAGGTTTTCAACACCAACCAGATTTGAGCCAGACCAGCAAGGATACTATAGTGTTTTTTAGCTAACACAGGATAAGGTGGTTTCACCATGATTTTAAGATGAAATATCATAAAATGACTACAATGAACATTTAATCTATCAAATAATTTTTGATGAAGGATGGAGTTTTAGATAATGCCCCCATAAGACTCATTCTTTTCAGGTTCAAAAAGTATTACCTATTACCTTGTATAATTTCATCATTATGTTAACACTTACTAAATATACAGTTAAAACTCAAATTAAAACTAAATAGTGTCAAGAGGGAAGAAAATATATTTTTACTAAAATTTGTGATAAAACCACAGCTTAAGGAAATACGTTGCAATTTCTGCACATCAGACTCTGCTAATAGAGACAAAAGACATCTTATTCCTATGCTATTCCTAGTTCTTAGCATAGTGACTAGAATTGAGTAAGTACCAAATAAACTGTGGTTGAATTAAATGTTTGTGATTTAGGATTCTTTATTGTGAAACAAAAGACAAGATAAATAACTGCATAAGTAATAGATATGAACCCTAAAAGAAAATTATAAAAATTAAGATTTTCAAGAAGCTAAAAAATCTTCAAGGAATAAAAGAGCATTTCTAACATGCGTGTCTAATAACAAATTAAGTATTCACTGAAATATAATAATAATTTTTATTTAAAACATTTATAAGCCTTGATACTGGGTAAATAAGGTCACTGAAATCATTTTTAAAAACAAAATTAAAGACAGAATAATTAAAAAGCAGAAAATACCCAGACAAGAAATAAAAGTAAATCATTTCAGATACAGCTGTTATTTTTTTCAACTGAATTTTAATACATACCAATTATAGTCATCTGGAAGAGGAGAATACGTGGACTTATGACAAACACAAAATAAAGCTCCATCTGCAAAACCCCCCCCAAAATAAAGTGAATTTAGTTAATTTGAGCATATGTTCTCACATAAATGTAAAGCTAGTTTCACTTATTCAACCAGTATTTACTGTTTACTATGAAACAGGGATATACTAATGGCCAGGGATTCAACAAGATCAAGTCCGTGCCCTCGGAAAGGGTACAAGTGTGATGAGAGACAGACAAGTGAACAAACAATCCCAATACAAAAGATAAGCCCTGTCAGAATGGGTAAGTATTGGGAAAGAGAAGGGAACACAGAAAAGTTACAAACCACAACAGTGTAGGTTCACGAATGCCTTTCCAGTCGAGAGGACGTCTAAGGTACTCTGAAGGATGAGGGAATAAGTAGGAGTTAGGGTGAGTATAATGTTCCTTGCAGAGGGAGTAGTAACAAGTGCCAAGGACCAGAGGTAAAAAAGAGTATGAAATATTTGGGAATTCTGAAAATTTTCAGGTGACTGGAGTGAACAGTTCATAAAGCGAGGGGCAGGGGAGGTAAGTGATGAAATACAAAACAAATTATTTCAAATTATTTTTCCTTAATCAAAATGCTCATATTTAAAAGTACATTTTTCTTTTTTTAGAATACCTACAAATTCAAGAGCCATAGTTATCTTTTTAAAAGTCTGTGAAAGGTTCTCCTGCATTCGGAGAAAGAGTGTTCTTCAAATATAAAGAAAAAAATGTGAATGTAGCTCAGTATAGTTAAAAGCAAGTTCTGAAAATAACTTGGCTAAAGTCAAGGAGCAACTTCTCTCAACTGAGCCTCTTGCTCCTCAGTATGAAACACAAGCCTCACTCTGTTCAAATATCACTCATCCTTCAAAGTCAATGCCACTCTTCCATAAAATCCTTTTCCCCTCCCCACCCCATAAGCCCAAGTACAGAGGGCAGGGTTGTCTACTTTACATGTCCCACGACCAACATTTCCAATGACACTGCTATGCCTTCTTTGCAGTATTTTCTGCATCAGTTATTGATATGCATCAAATATGTGTAAAAAGATGTCATCTTTGTATACCTATTCTTTCCCCAAGGACTGCATATACTTATGGGTCTAAATATAAATCCTTACCCCCGCCCTGGCTGGTGTGGCTCAGTGGATTGAGCACTGGCCTGTGTACCATACCATGGCCGGTTCAATCCCCAGTCAGGAGGGCACATGCCTAGGTTGCGGGCCAGGTCCCCAGTAGGGGGCATGAGAGAGGCAACCAGACATTGATGTTTCTCTCCCTCTTTCACCCTCCCTTCCCCTCTCTAAAAATAAAATCTTTTAAATTCTTACACTAAAGCATAAAAAGTACCTTAACAAAATTCACTATTATCACAAAAGACTGTTCAGCAAAATGTCAAACCCAAGATTCTACTGATATAAAAAAATACAAAGAATTAGAAATTTAACCTCATCTCTCAAAAGATTCATTGATTTTCAATTGTGCTAATACAGAAGTATTCAATAAGACAAATCAGAGAATAAAGTAAAAACTATTTAAGCATTTTATTTTCTTGTTTTACACTGTTGATGCTTTTCCTAATTATGCCAGGATGAACACGAAGAGAAGTTTTACTCTGAATACAAACCAGCTAGGTGATGTGCGTGTTCACTGAAAGAAACAGGGGTGGGTAACAGAGGCAGGACAGACAGAACCGTGTTCTTCAACAGGCACAAAGGAAAACTCAAAACAGTGTTTCAGTTCAACAAGGAACTGCACAATTTCTACTCTGCACTTAAACAGACATTTGTTTAAACCCTTGTGACATGTATCACATTCTACCTCATATTCCAGGTTTTTCTATTTCCTACCTGTTTCACCTGCAAATCTACTGTATTTTTTGGACCATAAGACGCACCTAGGTTTTCGAGGAGGGAAATAGGAAAAAAATTTTTGCAGCAAAAAATGTGGTAAAATATTTAATAACATAAATAACACAGTATTTCACCAATGTAAATGTAAACAGAACTCAACAGCAGCATTAACAACCATTATTCCTCCCAAATTAGGGCGGCGGGGGGGAGGGGGGGGGGTTCATCTTATAGTCTGAAAAATACAGGTAAGTGAGTTCCTTAAGGCCAGCAACCACATGTTCATTACTGTGTCCCCTACAGTGGTACTAATAAAAAAGTTATCATCAAACTGCCTCTAAAGTGTTAACTTCTGTATAATACCTAAAAAATTCAAATGACATTTTATCAAGAGAAGAATTCTAGTCATGGCTAGGATCTCAGAGGTTCTAAATATATAATTAGAACTGATGCCAAAGTCAACATCAATAAACCCCAAGCAACTAAATGTGGCAAAAAAAAATTCCAATGAGAATCAGCTCTGTAACTTAGGGGCTACTGTTACATATACAGGTTGAATTGCATTTTGATAAGATATATAAAAGCTGATAGCTCCACTTTTTTACAAATTTTCAATACTTTAAGTTATTATAGGAATGGCGGTACAGCAGAAAGCATACTGGATAAAGTAAAATGGGGAGACCTAGGTTTTGATCACAGTTCTCAGTTACCTCATAAACAACCTTGGGCGAGCTTCTGAGGGCCAGAGAACTCAAGTGCCTAAGTTTTCAGAAACATAACAACACATGGCATAAAATATTTTAAAACTGTAAAATATTCCACATTCCACACTGACTGTATATTTTTGGAAGGTTTTGGGAGTTCCTTCTAAAACATAGGGAGGTCTTTTTATTTTTGTTTATTGAATTTTCTCTCCCTTAATCATGGTTTTGCTTTGCCTTAATCTTAATGTCCTTTCTTTTAGTATAAAATATCAATAATAATAGTAATAATACTTTACCTTCAATGATAATAATAGAAATTGTGCAGACTAAGGGGCTTCAGGATGCAAGAAATTAGGTAGTCACTGAGTACTAGGATGGCTAAGTGATAATGGAATAATTTCCTGGGGGCAATTTAAATTAATTTTTAGCTAACTAGATATTTGACAACTCCAATCCATTCAGATCACTCCAACATTTATTTATCACTTACCATGTATGAGGAGCACTGAGGGAACCAAAACAAATTAGACACTGTACAAATTTACAATCTATTGGGTAGAGTATACATAGACAATTTCCATTATCCAAGGGCAGATTAACCTGAGTGAGGACTGATTGCTGTTTCAGGACATGGACTAGGTAAAAACTGATTAGGTCTGATTTCCATTAGCCTTGACGCTGGGTTCCTGTCAGGGCAAAGGGGAGGCTAGGCCGTAGGGGGGTCTCACTCACAATTCTGAACAAAAATTCTCCCAGGTAATCAAGGACAGACCATTGTTTTGGCTCTGATATCTACATCTAAAGTCTCTCAGCAATCTGCTCTTTTACTTAATTATACTTTTACATACACACACACATATATTTTTTTTAACCCTCACCCAAGGATATATTTATTGACTTCAGAGAGAGAGAGAAAAATCTATAGGTTGCCTTCCACATGTGCCCTGAACAGGGAAAGAACCCACAACCTAGGTATGTGCCCTGACTGGGGATCAAACCCAGAACCTTCTCTTGTACAGGATGAAACTCCAACCAGCTGAACCACCCAGCCAAGGCACTTTTACTTATACTTTTAATCCTACTCTTCAAACTACTCTTTTCTCCTTAATTCAATAAACAAACATTTAATTGCAAATGACAGTAAATAGGAAACATGAAGGAAAAGATTGAGGTGAAGCAAACGTGTAAAAAAGTTAGCCAATGTAACTAAACATGCAAAGCAAACCTATTGGGGCACTCTATATCTGCTTTAGAAATGGGAGAATAGCATTCACACAGTAGAAAAAGAAAGTGAAAGTAAGGTTGGCTGGGAAATAAGATTTTAATCATCTATTTACTTATATGGGTTGATATAAGGGTTAACTATAACTTATATGGGTTAACTATCAAACATGTATTAATAGACTTTGAAGAAAAGGCTACATACATTACTTCAGAAAAGGTAGATCGAACCCTGACTGAGGTGGCTCAGCTGACTGGGCATCATCCCACAAGGTAAAAGGTCTCAAGTTCCATTCCTAGTTAGGGCACATGCCTGGATTGTGGGTTCAGTCTCCAGGTCCCAGCGGTAGGAGAGGCAACTGACTGATGTTTCTTTCCATCCCTTTCTCCCTCTCTTTCCCTGTCTCTAAAAATAAATAAATCTTAAAAAAAGAAAGGAAAGGTGGGTAAAAGTTAAATTTTATTTTTAATGGCTAAATATATAGATAAAAACATGGAGAGAATACACCACAATGTTAACAATGATGATCTCTGTAAGATGGAATTGTAATTTTGCCCTTTATTTGCAGATGTTAAGTACTACTAAAAAAGTAATACATGAAAATACAGTAACTATGATTCAAACCAGAGAAAATTCCTCTTTATCAATCCCTTTCTCACCATCTGTTAAAATCCCACTTGTGGTCTACACAGATAACTGATTTGGCCCATACTTTTCCTCTGCACCTATATATATAAACACACACACATGTAATAGATCATCTTTTAAATGTACAAATGTGAATCACATAATAGATACTGTTCTGTGACAAACTTTTCTCCCCTTCTATTTGGCAATGCACACAGTAAAGATATACCATAATTTACCCATTTTCCTTTTGATAGGCATTTAGCCTTTCTTTCTTTTTCCTTCTCCCTTTTTCCATTATTATAAACACTCCTGATAAAGCATACACAGTAAGTAAATGTTTTAAATTTTCTATAATGAATACGTTTCTACAATATTTGAAAAAGTTTTAAACTTTTTAAATATTAAAAAACTCACTTACTTTGAAATGGAAATAAACGTTTCAAGATAGTTCTGTTTGATATCGCCCATTTCACTGCTGCTACTGCCATGGTGAATCAAGATGCTTAGCAGGTGGTATGGAAAAAGACGATTTGAAGAGAAAAATCTTTTAGAATTTGCTTCTAGGCATACCTATTTTCATCCTAAGCAAGAGATAAAAAAAAAAGAAATTACTACTACCAATGCTAAATCAAAGTGACACGATATACTGACTGCTACAGGAACAAGACAGGAATCATTACCTAGAACCAGCCACCTAAAGCGCAACTTTTAAACGACTCTCCATTCCATGTGGTATAAGAAAAGAGCAACATGCCCTGGCTGGTGTGGCTCAGTGGACTGAGTGCCAGCCTGAGAACCAAAAGGTCCCGGGTTTGACTCCCAGTCAGGGCACATGCCTGGGTTGCAGGCCGGGTCCCCAGTTGGGAGCACACTAAAGGCAACCACACATAGATGTTTCTCTCCCTCCTTCCATCCCTTCCCCCTCTCTATAAATAAAGAGATAGATAGATAGATAGATAAAATCTTAAAAAATAAAAGCAAGCGACATTATCAAAACGTAAGATCAGAAACTCCAGAACTATGTCCTTTACAATTTCTCTTAAATGCAAATTTCTAGTGTAGTTCTTACCACTTAATGACTGCCCAATAAGTGTGATTACCCACAGAATCAGTCACTCACACATGCTACACAGAGCATCCCCCTTCATAATGCTAATGTGTCTGTGTACAACCTCCCAGGTACCACAACAAGATCTTATTACATCTCTTAAAGTAGTATTGTTTCTGATTAAATGAAATATTAAATAAGGCTTATCCTTGGCTTATTAAATACTGATTTAGAGAAATACATATTAACATTTCAAAGTGTCAAATATAATTTCCCCACATTATACACTGGCTGGGGCAAAAGCAGGTTTACAGTAGTGAATACACAAAACAGTTTGTTCTTGTATTATTATTTATTATTGTATTATTGTCCATATAAACTGTAAACATAGTTTTGTCCCATCTTGTATGCATAAGGTTTTTAATTTTCCAAGGTGCTTTCTTTACCATTTCATTTTACTCTCATATTGATGTGCGGTTATCTTTATTTTGATTCATGAAGAAACTAAGTACAAAGTTTAAGAGTCAGTCACAAACTAGGAAAAATTTGGCAAGTCATTAACTAGATGACACTCAGTTTCTTCCGTGGTAAACACGGAAACAACCACAACCTCCATGGCTGTTGTGAATAAAAGGATATAAGCATTGTTACATCTCTTGTTTTTAACCGGCCTCCATGACTATTTCTTCCCTTCCCCCATACTGATAACATGAAATCAGCATGAGTCTTGTTTGCGAAACTTTGCAGGCTGTTTCTCTGCACTGTCAGTACATTAGCACTGCTATCCCTGATTTCATAGCATGCTTTTTACAGTTTGCAACCCACTTTCCTATGCATTATGTGCTCTTTCACAAATCTGTGAAGTAGGCATCTTCATTTTAGACACTCAGCGGTTCAGAGAGATCGATACACTGCGTGTATAATAGGTGGCCAGGGTGGTACACAGACCCTAGTCTTCTGAGCATGAACCAAGAAACAAAACTTTTGATGGCAGGGAGCATTAGGTCCCCTCTGCCCGAGGCCCAGAGGAAAGCACACCCACAAGTGGATCAGACTGTTCACCCCAGGGAGAATAATTCAAAGGGTAAATCACTAGGCCCAGAATTCAACCTCGAAGCAAAAACTGCAGAGCCTCGAAGGGCTCTAAATTTCAGGAGCAGGCTACCAAAAGCACGGGGACTAACACCCGAGGGCAGTTCCGAAAGACGTGGACCTGGGAGGGATCCCCAAGCGACTGGCAGCGGTACAAGGGGAGTGTTACCACGAGAAACGCGCTGCCACATGCCGGCTCTTCAGCAGGGCGGACCGAGTCTGGTGACGCCAGAGGCTTTATGCTGCCGCAAATGACAAGTAGGAGACCTCGACAACTGCGGATAAACTTTCTAGGCCTGTCCAGCTTAGCTTCTATCGACTACTTGACTGGAGGAAGAAAGGACGACGGTTACCTTGACAGCTGCTCACCACGACCCAGCCATCTTGCCTCAATCCGGGTCTTAGGAGCTACAACTTTACGCGACTTCCTGACCTGCTGGGCACTCTGGGAAATGTAGTCATGTGGGAAAGAGCATCTTGCCACGGGAGGGCGGGGATTCACTTACCTTGCTTCCACTTTTAGTTGCAGCCGTTTAACCTGCGTGTGTGCTCGTGTCATACAAAAACAAAAATCACTGTCCCCCGCACATATCCTTAGAAAATAATAAGCGATATTTTTTTAAAGTTTATGTTAATATCTGGAGGACCTCGAGATAGCTTTTTGGTGGATGAGTTAACCTTTCCTAGAGGAAGAGGAATTATTTCATAGAAATAATTCCCCAGCACTGAAAAGGGCTGGGGTTGGAAATGAAGTTTAAAATAGGGAAGTTGGGAGAGCCTCGAATCCGAACACTGCACTGCGTTGTGAGAATTGGGCATGCTATTCATTGTGGGAGGAAGAAACTGTGCAGTATCCTGGACTTTGCCTTTTATCTTGCAGGGAGAAAATGCCCTCGGGCCTTTGCACTTCCTATTCTCATTCCCAGCAGTGCTCTTCTCTCACTTCCAATGACCACTGCCTAACTTTATACAGGCCTTGTTCAAATATTATCTCACAGAGGACTACACCACTAAATAGCCTCACTCACCTTTATCTTGCTGTCCTGCTTTACTTTTCTTCATAACATTTACCATTATATGACATCATATTATTTGTTTCCTCATTTTAATGTCTGTTTCATGCTAGAACACAAGCTCCATAAAGGCAGAGTCAAGTGTCTATCTTGTTCTGTACTGTATACAAACCCAGCATCTACAACTGTGCTTGGTCTCACTGCAAGCCTCCATTATTTGCTGAATGAATAAGACAAATAACAAGGCAGACATCCAAGATAGCAGATGATCAACTGTTAGTGAGGCAGTTTAACCTAGAAATATCTTTCCCTCATGATATGCAAATTTTGTGTTTATGTACATTTTTCTGAAAAGAACTCACATATATCTTTTACCATGTATTCAAGGGTTGAGAAACCTCTCAAAAAGTTAAGGGCCATAGTCCTGAGTGATTAATATTAAAAATAAGTGAATATAAAGTCACAGTTAAAGCCCTGGCTGGCGTAGCTCAATGGATTGAGTGTGGGCTGCAAACCAAAGCATCGCAGGTTTGATTTCCAGTCAGGACACATGCCTGGGTTGCAGGCCACACCCCCCAGCAACCGCACATTGATGTTTCTCCCTCTCTCTCTTTCTCCCTCCCCTCTCTAAAAATAAATAAATAAATAAATAAATAAATAAATTTTTAAAAAGTCAGTTAAGGAAAATAAATGTGGGCTGCTGTGGTGTTTCTCCTCACTTCCTGCAGAATAGCAGGCTTTGTTCTGCTGCTAATCATTGCCCCTTTAGAAACCCACAATGACAGCCCATCTCTGTCCTTTCTAATCTTATCCATCCTTCAAAGCCACCGTGTAAGGTCTTTTTGGACTATGCTGTAGGAAGAGACAGAGAGGAGAAACAGATGTGAATGAACAATCAACTGGACTTGTCAAACACTCATTGTGCAAAGTGGAAGAGGGATGGATCAAAGATGACTTTAGAGGACATGTCTTGATGGCTGTGAGCAGAATAGGGACACTGACCAACATAGAGACACACTTAGTGGGCCAGGAAAGGTTTGCAAAGCTGAGACCAGACAAGAAACCAGTCATGTGCCTGGAAAAGAGAGTAGAGACAGTTGTAGGCTGAGGGAACAACATAAAAGTCTAAGGGGAGTAGAAATAACTTACTTTCTGCTAGAGAACAGTGTGGAGGAGAGTGGCGGGACCTGAAGTGAGTAAGAACTATGTCATGTTGGGCTTTGTAGGCCTTGGTGGTAATAACATGAAATTGGGACATAGGCCATATGTGTAGATGTTATTCTAAATGTAGTAGGGAGTCACTGAATAGTTTTAACTCAAAATAAGAGACACAATATAATTTATGTTTTTAAAAGATTACTCTGGCTGCACTGTGAGAGTGGCAAGACTACAAGCAAGTCTAATGAGGCTATTGTAGTCAGGTTAAGAGATGAAGGTAGAGAGGTAGTACAGCACAATGGTGAAGAGAAGAGATGAAGGTGATAAGGTGATGGGGGGCAATAGTGGAGATAGAGAGAAGGGAAGAGAGTCTAGATATATTTTGAAAGTAAAATGATGACCAAACTTGCTGGTGGATTGATTGGATGTGGAAGTTGAGAGAAAGACACTTCAGATGACACTTTGATGACTAGCTTGAAGGTGGTATGGTTCATGAGATAGGGAAGAGTGAAAGAGGAGCAGAATTGGGGGGCTTGATCTGATGAGGATAGAAATGAATGACTCTATTTGGAAGTTGTTGAGTTTGAGATGCCTCTGAAAAAACCAACCAGATGTAAAATGAGGCAGGTGGTTGGACAGATGTGTCTGGAGATAGAGGTTAAGCTAGACACAGATTTAAAACCATGGGAATGTTGAGTGCATGTAGGGAGTGTAGGAAAAAAGAAAAAGGACTCAAAACCATCCCCAGGGAATCCCAACATTTAGAGGTTAGGTGGAGGACAGCCAGCAAGGGCCTTTCAGAAGTGGCAGGGACAGAGGCAGCAGGTAAACCAAGAGACCATGGTGTGAGAGTGGTTAAGAAAGGCATGTCATATCATGAAGTATTTCATAACTTTAGAGTTCAGTGCCAGCAAGTTTTAAACTATTATTTCCAAAATTACAAACTTGAAATACCAACAAATAACTTACACTAGCCCACATAAAAGCTGTTCAAATTCATGCTAGTAAAATGATAAAACATAAAACTGTAGAGGTTTGGAATTGGCTTCAAAAGGCTTCAGTTGAAAAGGGGGTTGGCTTTTTTCTTTTCTAACTTCACAGAATAAATTTACTCTTTATGTCAATTAGAGATCAAAGACTGCTGAGCAAACTAACTGCCAAACCATTAGGGATAAAGTTTTAAAGTTTTACAAAAACTTAAAAAAAATTTTATCACATAAAATTGGCTACACTTTTGAGCACATATGTACCAGACATTGTTCTTCAAAAACTTTACATATATTGTTTTTGTCTATTCCTACTCTTGGCCCTAGGAGATAGGTATAATTTCGACTGTCATTATACAGATGAAGTAACAGAAGTGGACTCGTTCAAAGCCATGCAAAGTATAAGTGGTAGAACTGAGATTTGAACCCAGGAAGTTCTGATACCAGCACCCATGAGTTTAACCACTGTGTTAGACTGAGCCATGCTTATTTCCAAATAGGAAATGTAGATTGAAAAAAAAAAAAACTAATACAGATTTAAAAAACAAAACCCCAGAGATAGGATCTAATAATATTTTGGTGAGTAACTTTTCACCCTTTAGCTCTTCTTATACCTATATTGTGATAATAATGAACATCTATTGGACACTCTATGTGCATTGTTTTAGAGTCCTGCAGCCAGTGACTGGTGGAGGTTAGATGCGAAACACACAGCCTGGTTCTCCTTCGATCTCCTGCTCTTTCATGCAAACACATTATCTTTAGGTTTTCTTTTATTCCTGTTAATATATGTGCATAGATACATACACATATACATATAGATTTTCTTTTTATAAATATATATAATATATCTTTCCCCACTTAATATATGATAAATATCTTTCCTATGAATAGGCTAAATATTGTTATTTTCAAACCACCACAGCAGGATTTTTTTAGATTATTAAAGACCCTTACCATATAGTTTCCTTCCCCCCCCCCCGATAGTTTACATTTTTAAGTTATTTCATTATTAGGTGCTTTCCTGTAACGCCTAAATTATAAATTTATTCTGTACTCATTCGTTTAACAAATATTTATTGAGCACATGTCACATGTACAAGACATTAGAGCAACACTTTCTGTCTTCATAGATTGTACATGAATTGGGGATGACAGAGATTAAGTATATAATTGTGTAATTAATTATTTTATTATCATTGCACTGTCTCAGAGGAAAAGAATGCCATAAAGCAAATAATGAGTCTATTGGTGTCTAATTAGTCTGTTAGGGTTAGGAAAGGCTCTTCCGAGTATGTGAATTTAAGCAGAAATCTGAAGGATGGATAGAAGTTAGGAAGAAGGAATAGCCTGAGTGAGGGTCCTAAGTAAGGAAGTAGTATGATTCTGTCAAGAATCAAAAATAAGCCATGGCTGGGTGGTTCAGCTGGTTGGAGCATCATCCCGTACACCAAAAGGTTGCAGGTTCAGTCCTAGGTTAGGGGTGCAGGGGAGGCAACAGATTGATATTTCTCTCTCACATTAACATTTCTCTCCCTGCCTTCCTCTCTCTTTAAAAATCAATAAAAAAAAACATATCCTCAGGTAAGAATTTTTTTCAAAAAAGAATAAAAAATAAAGTCTGACTAGAATACAGAGTGCTAGCAAAAACAATGGGGTTGGTGATGAAGGCCAATCTATTGTATGTTTCTAAGAAATATTTCACATGTGACAGGTAACACTGAAAAAGGGCTTTCTGTGTGTCTTTGGAAAAAATCTCTATTCATATCCTTTGCCCATTTTTAATCAGGTTATTAGTTTTTTAGTTGTTGAGACATAGAGATGGCCAACAGGCACATGAAAATGTTCAGCATCACTAATTATTAGGGAAATGCAAGCCAAAACCACAATGAGATATAACTTCACACCTGTTGAAATGGCTATTATCAAAAAGACAAGAAGGCCCTGGGTCTGTAGCGTAGTTGGTTAGAGCATTGTCCTGATACACTAAGGTTGCAGGTTCTATCCCTGGTCAAAGCACATTCAAGAATCAACCAATGAATGCATAAATAAGTAGTACAACAAATGAATGTTTCTCTTTCCTTCTCTTTTTCCACCTTGCCTCCTCTCTCTAAAATCAAATTTTAAAAAAGACAGGAAATAACAAGATGCGGAGAAAAGCAACCCCTTGCTCACTGTTGGTGGGAATGTATTTTGGTACAGCCACCATGAAAAACAGTATGGAGATTCCTCAAAAATTAAGAATAGAACTACCATATGATGCAGGTATTC